TTCTTCACATTTACCTGGGCACATGTTGTTATGATAAAGCTTGAGGGGGACCTTGACAGATTCCATGCCAGGTGAGGATGACTGAGGCAGACAAACATGCCAAGCAGACAGAGCTTAGTGAGAAGTTTTATTAGAAAGGGAACAGAAGGGTGGGGATGGGGGAGGAAAGAGACACAGAGACAGAGAGGACAGAAGAGAGGAGGGAGACTGGAAAAGTCCTGTCTACCCTAGGGGAACAGCAGGAAAGAGAGAAAGAGAGAGGAGTATAAGTGGGCAGAGATTTTTCTTTTAAAGGGGTCCTTTGCACCTGTGTGCAGACTAGTAGTCACGGAACCCTAGGTTTGCCAGAGTACTGCCTGAGTGCATTCTGTCAGGTGACAGGGACAGGCCAGAATAATGCTTGAATCCTTACACAGGTCAGGTGGTGGTCTGAAAAGCTCTGAAGCTTTTCTCCATGTCCAGGTAGCCAGACATGAGATCTTCTTAGGTGACAAGTGCATGGTGTGATGCACTGTCACATCCTGCTTCTTAGTTATTTGTGGGTATTCAGATATGGCATGGGCATATGAGCTGACAAGGTTGCATATTCCATGCATAGAAATAACTTCTATTTTGTATCTCATATAGCCTATATAGACGTTTTAGCATTTAGTTTATGCATGCACATCTTGAAAAGTCATACCTTTTCCCTTGTCATTTGGCAAGGTTTGAAAGAAGCAGCATTAGCATTCAGGCATTTACACTGACCTGCTCTCAAGGACCTAGCAGGACATGTCATCAGTGGCAGCCAATTGTGACACAATGACTACTGCCACCACTGGGTAGTGTCCCCTTCCTATGCACCGTGTTCCCTAACAAAAAGCATGTCCTTTCCTGCTGCTCTCACTCAGAGGATGCCTCTGTACATTACACCCCACTCCAACCTCTCAAATTAACTCTGTTGCATGGTGTGACTTGTGGCACCCCTTGACTCCTATCTGTCGAGGTGCCTTATGCTGTTAAATCATTACTTTGGTGTCATGACTCTGTCTGGCTCTCCTGTCCCCTGGAAGTTTGAGGCACAACGGGACCTGCAGCAACAGGCTTACTTTCCAACTAACTGATCACTGGACACTTCACCCAATACTGGCAATGGTTGGCAAGTTCCCCATCTCCCAATCACATAAATGCTTCCCTGGGTCCCTGGAGTAACCATTGTGAGCCCAGCATCCCTCTGGTGTTCTCAGAGGCAGAGGAATCCCCAGCCACAGTCTTTAAGGCTATGGTTGAGCCTCTTCACCAACACCTGCCTCTGTCCACTTTTCATGCATGAGACTTATCCTTTTGAGCATGGTCTTTGTCCTCTTGCTTCATTCACAAGCTCTGGTACCAGGTGACCACATCTCGTATGGGCTTTTAGCCATTGAGGGACAGGCCATTGTAACCATCCCACCCTGGCTCCCACATTTACTCCAGTAGCCTTCAGCCCCCATGCTACTCACTCCTCTTTTGTGGGACATCTCTCACCCTATCCAGCCTAACCCAGCCATGGTTCTCCCTTTGCCAAAGGTTGCAGGGGATGGACTGCCTGGTTAAGGTACATTTTCATTAAGCGAACTCTCTCAAATAGAAAACAAACAAACAAACTGGGGTCTTACATGTCTAATTCTACTTATTTCATTAAAGAATTCCAATATATCATCCTATCCTATAGTCTCATCTTCCATGACATATATATGATTTTAGCAACCTACTTCCCAAAGAACACAGGTGAATTTGGGAACAGACTAGAGTACATGCCAAGGAAATGCACCAAATTAACCCAGCATACCCAGCCAGGGCTAAGGCATCTCCGAGCGGCATCCCCAATGTAACTACAATACCCCACATGGCATTCTAGCTAGAGATGAGTTTATAACTTGCCTCCTCGCTGGTCTCTGTAAGGTTGCTCTTAAACCAGTAAACTATGAGAAACTCCAAGAGGCCATCCAGGACAAACATTAAACATGTCTAATTCCTAGAACTCCTCACAAAGGCCCTCTTAAAGTATACCAATCTAATCCAAACCCCGTCCACGTCCAAAGTGCCGTCAAGAGCTGTTGACTGCCCCCATCTCCCTCATAGCATGGGGACATCAGACACAGACTGCCCTCCAGCCACCCTTTGGCCATGGATGACTGAAGGGGCCTGGGTTCCCTTGGCCTGACCACTGTCATATCTGACAGGGAGGAGCCCTTGGGAGTTGCTATGCTATCAAGACAAACCATATTCTTCCTCCTGGACACCGGGATCACTTACTTGGTCCTGATGGAGTTTTTGGGACCCACCTCTCCTCGTTTCCCTGTTGTGGGAGTAGGAGGACAGCCTTACCAACCTTACCAGACCCTATCACTCAATTGCATTTTCAGAGGTGTTTCTCTCACTCATTCCTTCATGGTGGTGCAAACCTGTCCTGTCCCCTTACTGGGAGAGATCTTCTAGCCAGTGGGAGCCTCTATTCTCTTTGTTCCTCCAATTTCTCTGACCCCAAGCTCACCAGAAGGCCCCCACTCCAGACACCCAACCTACAAGTTCCAACATGTCATTTCCTTTGCCAGCCTCCCAAGTAGATCCCCAAGTCTGGGATACCCCAAATCCCTCTGCTGTTAAACAACACTGGCCCATCGTCATTCAGTTACAGGACCCTTCCTGGTACCTCACCCAAACCCAGAGTTCAACTTGTCAGTTCTGCAATGATCCCGTTTCAGTCTTGGACCTCAAGGTCGCCTTCTCTATCCCCCTCACAATCAAGCCACAAAACATTTTGGCTTTTGTAGGGAGTCACCCTAGCCCCGCCCAATAGTCCTGGGGCAGGTACCAGGTGGACCCGGGGACTCGCCCATAAGGGCGTGGTGAAGGAAAGCCGGGATGACGTAAGGGAGCTTCTTAAGGGGCTGCACGTGGGGACGCGGGCCCCTTTGTTCTGGCCGCGCTGGCTGGGTTCTTAACCTAGCTCTGGCCTGTGTTTCACCCTGCTGTCCTCTGAAATAAAGAGACCTTAATCCAATAGGCTTTCACCTGAACTGTCCTACTCCAGATTCCAGGACAGTTCACACCTATTTGGCCAGGCCCTGACCTCTCTCTCAGAGGGTGCTCTGCATCCCCCCCAGCCAATAAAACTTCCAAAGGAGCTCTGTTGCATGCTGTGACTTTGTGGTGCCCCTCGGCTCCAACCTGCCAAGATGCTTTCTGCCTTTCGATAATTATACTTGGTACTGCAGGACATAAAATTCGGAGTTTCACAATTACTCTTTAAGTATATTGTCCAATAAGTTAGATTTATTTTCCTTATATTTCGAGACAAGCCAGGGTGGCCTACAACTCACTGAGTTCTGGCTATTCTTAAATTTACAGCAGTCCTTTCCCAAGCTCCTGAGTGTTGAGATGACATGCTCCACAAGTTTTGACCGAGTTACTTTAAACTCCTGGAAAATGGAGGGAGGAAGGTGGAGCTGGAGAGGTGGCTCAGCAGCTAAGAGCACTGGCTGCTCTGGTAGAGACCGCCTGATTTGGGTTCCCAAAACCCAGATGCTTGTAATTCGAGCTCTAGAGGAGCCCATGCCCTCTGGTTTCTTTGGGCACCTGCACACACACACACACACACAAATCAAAATAAAAGTACTCTTTTGAAAAACTATGGAAAATGCAGAAATAACTGTAGTACAGTTACAATATATATAATGTTATATATAATAAATATTAATATGTAATATCCAAATAAACATAGTAATTACATATAATATAGCAAAGATAATGTGTATAAATCTAACAAATACATGATATATGAGAAATAATATATGTGATATATAATATGTACACATATTAGGAAATAAATATTATATATGATAATATACCTAAATATATAATAAAATATAATATAAAAATAAGTATATGATTTATAATAAAATATATAAATAAATATATTATATAAGTATATAATTATATAAAATATGCAAATACATATAAAGTATATATAAAATATATAATATGTATATTTTTTGAGACAAGGTGTCTGTGTAGCTGGGGTTAGGTACTGCCATGCCCAGCTTACTCCTAGAAAAATTTAATCTAAAATACAGGTATAGAAGTAAATGTACAGTGACTAGAAAGAGAATGAATGGTTGGGCAGTAGTGGTGCCCACCTTTAATTCCAGCACTGGGAGGCAGAGGCAGGCATATCTCTGTGAGTTCAAAGACAGCCTGGTTTTGAACAGAGTTCCAGGATAGCCAGAGCAACACAGAGAAACTCTGTCTTGGAACAGACAACAAATGAAGCTAATGTATAGTTTCCACCACAAAATGTATATAGTGCAATTTTTTGTTTAGGGTAAGGTCTCATATAACCCAGGCTGGCCTTGATTAGACCCTCCATCTTTCTGCTTTTACCCAAGCATGCTGAGATTCTAAGCAAGCACCACCAGGTCCAGCAGCAAACAGAATTTATTCATTTATTTGGGGACAGGGTCTCATTGTGTAGCTATGGCTGCCCTGGAACCTACTATGTAAACCAGCCTGTCAAACTCACAGAGATCCACCACCCTCTGCCTCTAGAGTGCTAGGATCAAAGGCATGCACTACCACTATCAGCTGCAGACAGAATTTTAAAAAGAAACAACAAGAATTGGATTTAGAGAGGGCAAAGACCTCAGTAGCATCAAGCTTCAAGTCTTTATAATTTAAGCCCTGTACATGCCTGGATACAGCATGGGTCCAGGCTTCTGTGCAAAACCCTTTCCTAGACATCCCTCAGAACAGGGCAAGCCCAGGCTGCTAGTGTTTCTACTGTTTGCTCAGGGTCTAAGGTGTTGGATCCAAGTTATGATGCTTGCCTTGCCCCCTCCCTTTCACTGACAGCAATGACTTGTGCCTGGTGAACTGCAGTAGTGTTCTGGGACAATCAGGTTCTCTAAGAGAGTTTGCAATCTTTCAAGAGATAGAGTAGTGGACAAATTTGAATAGCGGGGTGAGACCAATACGCGACATGACAGGGTAGAAGTCTTTTGTCAGCCCTCGTTGTCTTGTAACAGATGCCTGGAGCAAGAGGGAAGGAGGGCAGGAAGTACCTGGTTTGCAGGGGGAGGAGAAAGGGAAACCGGTGTGAGCTACGCTGACCATGATTCCACAGTGCTTGCTGCTGCCCACCAGATATCCTGAGCGTCATTTGATCCTTAAGGTAAACAAGGCACATCATTATTTCCTCTTTTCTACAGTGAAGAGACTGAAGTGAAACAGAACTAAGCATCTGGCAGACTAGTTTCAGCATTTACCCCCTCTCCTGCCCCACTGTGGTCACAGCCAGATCAGGTCCTCTGCACAGCTGTTCCCATTTCCCCACAAATTCTAGTCATCCTGCTCGTCCAAGGGCAAAGGGGCCCCTGGGGACAGGCAGGAGGAATGACTATGGGGCATTGGCATTTAGAAGTCATCCCCTGCCTTCGTAAGGAGCCAGATGGAAGGCAGAGGGGTGGGGTTGGGGTGGTTGAGGCAATCTTCTGGGTGAGGGGTGACGACAGCCTGTGCTAAGGAGGCTAGCACAGTGACACAGAGGTGTAGACAAGTTGGAGAGAGTGAAGTGGAAAGATTCTAAAAGCTGTGTGTGATGCGTTATTCGTGAAGTCCAGTGGGAAGAAAAGAATGGTAACCGGTGAGCCTGGCTCCGTGCCCTTTTGAATTCTGAGCCAAAACAAGGCTGGAGCGATTATATTGCAAAACCTGGCTTTCTGGGCTTTTGACCTGTGCTTTCAGGACCCATGCCTGGCTTCATACTCTGTGTTGCTGCCTTGGGATTCTTAATACACTGAAGCAAGGAACACCATAAAACATACAAATTATGTGGTCCACCCTGTACCCCAGACCCGGATGTTTAGGAGTGGAGAGAAATAGAGGAAGTGTCTTTTCAAGGTGGAATTTGTGTATCTAGGAGGAAGTAGGGACTATAAAATGCAGTTCCGGGGTCACATGAAAGAGTAGTTTACCAGTTAGGCCAAGTAAAGCATTTTTTAAAAACACAAAATAGCTCAGAATATTAACATGATAATGAGTTAGAGAATTTAGAAGATAATAAGAAATATTAGATTTGACTTCCATTTCTGCCCTGTTTTCAAAAGCCTCTGGAGTTTCCTGAGTGGTAGGAAGGAATGTCTTAGTTGTGTTAATAAAGTGACCTCTGTCTTTGGGGAGGGTCATCATGATTCAGGCCGGTTAGGAGAAAGAGCAGACACTGTTCTGATAAAGCTTGAGGGGACCTTGGCGGATTCCATGGCAGGCAAGGGTGACCGAGGCGTAAGGACAAACAGACCTGGCAGACAGAGCTTAGTGAGAAGACAGGAAAAGTCCTGTCTGCCCCAGGGGAACAGTAGGAAAGAGTGGAAAGACAGAGCAGAAAACTAGCTGGAAAGAGGAGAGCCGGAAAAAGAGAAAGTGGGCGGAGGTCTTTCTTTTAAAGGGGTCCTTTGCACCTGGGCTGACCAGAGTACTGCCTGAGTGCATTCTGCCAGGTGACAGGGGCAGGCCAGCATAATGCCTGAATCCTTACATACACGAGTAGAGAACTGGACATTTCAGCCATCCAGTCTCTGGGGAAGGAATGGGGCCAGGTTACATCTCTTAAGCCTTAGGTCACAACCCTAAGGAAAATGGTTTCTAAATGTACAAAACCAAAATTAATTCAGATTAAACCCACTGTGAACCTGAAGTGTTTCTCATTAGTTCTCCCCTGTCTAAGTCCGTGCCCCCTCCCTCCGTCCTACCCCCGTGGGTTATTCACTCTCCGAGCTGAAGGATGGACATAATTGCTTGATGACAATTCATTAAAACTCTATCCATTTCTGAGAGCTGTCCTGGCAGAACGGAGCACAGCCTGTGTCCTGACAGAAATAGGATCCCTCTTGGCTCAGTGCAGGGCAACTCTGAAGGGCTATTCCAGATCCTGAGCGTTTTGTGGGGTCAGCTGGAATCTCCTTGGCAAGCGTATTGACCTCGTGGTTCTCCTGCCCAGTACCAACCACTCCGGGGTTTGAAGCACTCAGAGCTTGTCTTGCTAACATGCACAGTAGGTGTTTCAAAGGGCACACTGCCTGGCATCCCACCTGCACACAGACGTGTGTCCCAGCCATTCCCAGGAAACCAAACCTGAGATAGAGGCACAGTGAACCTCCAAGGAGATAAAATAGCAACAATTTCCTGAATTTATTTGACAATGGAATCTGTTCTCTACAACCTCATAGGAAGTGAGTGTTTCCCCAGTGGCTGGCTTTTAGAAGCGAAGAACTGGCCCTGACTGGCTGGCAGAAGTATGTTCTTTAAGGCAAGCTGTCCTTGGTGGATTAAATGAGTTAAAATATGATAATGGTGACTACAACTTTCCATGACTTCAGACCAATACATTTCTCTCTAGGATGTGAGAACATATTCTTTTTATAACTTCGACAACGTATTTTTATATCATTATTGAACAGAATAAGAAAACTGAAATTGAGGAAATTAAGTATGTCTAAGATTGAAAGTGGCAGATACACAGCTTGGATGTGGTAATATATCCTATGGGAGCCAGAGGCAAGAGGATCGTGAGTTGAAAGTCAGCCAGGGCTACATAGCAACACCAGGTCTCAGAATAATGTGAACAGACACAGGTTTGAAATTTATAGATATTAAAACTCACTATAATGCTATAAGTAACCAAGACAGAGCAAGACTAGCTCAGTGACTGACATCTAGATAAATGGAACAAAATGACTAAAATTCTAAAAACATGTTAAACTTGTAGCCAACTGATTTTCAAAAGATGCCAAGGAATGTTAAATGTAAAAGAAAATTTTAAGACAGACAGTGAAGCAACCGCATAACTATTTTAAAAAAAAATAAAGTTGCTTTTGCGCTGTTCATAAAATTATTCACAATGAACCATAGACCCAAAGGTAAGAGCTAAAGCTCTAAACTCATGTGATGGACTAGAGAGATGACTTAGTGGTTGAGGGCACTGGCTGCCATTCAGAGGACCCTGGATTAGTTCCCAACACCCACCCATAGGGCAGCTTACAACCGTGTGTGACTACACTTCCAGGGGATCTACTGCCTCTTGTGGCCTTTGTAGGCATAGCATGCACATGGTACACCGACACACATACAGGCAAAACACCCATAATCATAAAATGAAAATAATGATAAAAATGAGCTCATGAGGAAACATAGAAATGATTCTTTTTGTTTGTTTGGTTGGTTTTGGTTTTTTGAGACAGTGTTTGTGTAGCTTTGTAGACCAGGCTGGCCTCAAACTCACAGAGATCTGCCTCCCTTTGCTTCCCGAGTGCTGGGATTAATGACATGTGCCACCACCACCCAGCTCAGAAATGATTCCTTTTTTTTTTTTTTAAAGAAAGCTGGGCGTTGGTGGCGTTTTTTAAGATTTTATTTATTATGTACACAACATTCTGCTTCCATGTATATCTGCACACCAGAAGAGGGCACCAGATCTTATAATGGATGGTTGTGAGCCACCATGTGGTTGCTGGGAATTGAATTCAGGACCTCTGGAAGAGCAGCCAGGGCTCTTAACCTCTGAGCCATCTCTCCAGCCCCTCAGAAATGATTCTTTAAGACATTGAATTTGACAACAGCTTCCTAGATGTGATAAACACACACACACACACACACACACACACACACACACACACACACACACACACACACAGCGGGGGGGGGGGGGGTGCACTTTATTGCCTCTTTGGATTGCTTCATTGCCTCTCTTTGGATTTCATCCAAATTTTTTAAAAAAATGGAAAGAATATGCTACAAAATGGCTAAAAAATATTTGAAATTATATGTGATAAGGAATATATGAAGAATTTTTTAAAATTTATTTTTATTTTGCCTGCATGTATGTCTGTGTAATGGGGTCAGATTCCCTGGAACTGGAGTTATGGTTTTGAGCTGTCATGTAGGTGCTGGCAATTGAACCCAGGTACCCTGAATGAACAGTTACTGCTCTTAATTGCTGAGCATCTCTCCAGCCCCTATGAAGAATTCTTAAAGTTATAGATCACTCATTTAAAAATGGGCAGAGTGGGTCTGAAGAGAAGGCTCAGCTGTTAAGAGCATTTGTTACTCTTGCAGAGGACTTAGGTTCAATTCTCAGCACCCACATGGTGGCTCACAACTGTCTGTAACTCCAGTTCCAGGGGATCTGATGCTCTCTTCTGACCTCTGAGATGATCAGGCATGTACAAAGTACACATACATGTATACATGCAAAGCAGTCATACACACAATTGTTTTCAAAAGTTGGCAAAGAGTTTAAAGAGTCATAAATATCTACAAGTGTCCAGTAAACACTCAGAAGGCTGCTCAATGTGGTTAGCTACCAGGAGGGGCCCAGTGGAAGAAGAGATAGGAGCACAGAGAGAGACCATGGCAAATGGGGTGATGTTTATGGAGAAGGAAGTCAGGGCAAGGGCACTGCAGAAAACTTCTTTTTGAACACTACAAGATATTTCCTTAGGACAATGTCAAAGGACAGTCCAACATAGAATCTGGAGGTGATAACAGAACATGATGGTGTTCACTTAAGATATCCCAGCCCTCCTGGTCAATACAAATAAAGTGATCCAAGTAGAGTTCAGTAGTTCATTTAGTTCTAAGCAATACAGATTTTACCATGAGTTCTAAAGTCTCACAGGTACATGGAATTATTTTTAAAAAACCAATGAAGAAGTTATACAATGCTTTTATGGATATTTTATTGGGTAATTAAAGAGAAAAATATCCACAATCCTGTGAGTATACTATAACCTCTGTCAAAGGGCAACATGGCAACAATTTGAAGATTTTAATTGGCTTTATTTTCTATTCTGGAATTAGGCAACTCTTCATTACATAAAACAGAACAGATATTTGCAATTCAGGAATCGAAAATAAAGCCAATGTTGTCCTTTAAGTGTTTCTGCCTTTGACATTATCACTAACATTTAGATTCATTTCCTTCCATGCTTCCCTTCACATGCTTTTAAATTGCTAATATATTTAAAGTGTACATTAATTAATTAATAGTTTTTTTTTCTATTTAGGAATCTTCTTGCCCTGCGCATTCCCTCTATACTGCCTAGTTGCATATACGTGTGTGTGTGTGTGTGTGTGTGTGTGTGTGTGTGGGGGTGTGGTTAGTTCTCTTTATATAGAAGCTGGGGCATACTTTTAAGGTTTGTAAACAAATTAATTATAATTAAAGATTAAGTCCTCAAAAGGGAACATTGATTTTTTTAGTTTTCAATGTTATTAATCACTACAGAAAAATATTTTTTATTCCTACAATGATCCATTTTCCTAGACTGATATGGCAAATAGAACCACTTGGTCAGGACTTATAAGTAAGTATATGCCTTGTGGTTGGTTTTACTAGTTCAAGTACATACTTAGGAGATGTTTCATTTACCAATAATTGAAACTAACCCAAGTTATGGTAATCTTGACTGACCATCAGTGTGGCCTAGCAAAACTAACCCAAGAAATTATTGACCCTAGTATGTTATTATGAATTCTTACAAAGTAATTTGACAGAATAAGTAAAAGGCCATAAACACTTTTATGCCATGATTGCAATACATTTAAAGGACATTGCTGAACCAGATTATGACCAGTAAGGAGCTAGCCCTACTAAAAACTTCAGAGCCTGAGTCCATGGTTGGCAGGAAGATACAGTGGTTAGAGGAGCTTGCCGAGTGAGTCTGATAACTCAGCTTCAATCCCTGGGCCCCACAGAAAGGTGGAAAGAGAGCGCTAAGTCCACAAAGTTGCCTTCTAAACACTACACTCACGCTGTGGCACACCCAGACCCACAAACAATAATTAAAAACAAATGAAAAGCCTGAAAAACAATAAAAATAAGCTGCTTTTCATTAGGCAAAATTATGAATAAAATTATCAGTAGATTTTTAAAAACATTTCATGTGTATGAAATGGTCGTTTTCTTATATCATTTGTACAGGTATCACTACCTGGTGACTTTGTCAAACTAGTCTGCAGGTGGCTATGATGGTATTTGCAGATGCAGTTACTATGGACATCAGGCTGTTTTTAAGGTTCATCTCCTTGGTAACATGATAATGTGAATGAGCTTCATCCCAACGCCAAAGGCCATAAGAGCAAAATCGGAGGTCTCCCAGGCAAGGAAAGAAGTGCCCCTGAAACACTTCCTTATGCAATTTCTTGTCCCTGCCTCTGTAGAATCCATGATGCAGTTCTTTAGTTCTTCCTTTCTTCCCCACCCTCCCAGGCCCTCTTATATCCCAAGGCTGGCCCCAAACTCCTTATGCAGCTAATGGCCTTGGCAAGCATGTGCCACTATGCTCAGTTCGGCATTTTTAAAAAGTGGGTTTTTTTTCTTATAAAATATTCAAAAATCATTTATCAAGACTTAAAACATAATTCATCTGGGTGTGGTGTTGCAGGTAGTGGTAGAGGACCATCATAACTCCATGTCATCCACTACATACAGGGTTCTAGGCCAGAGTGATCCTATCCTTTCTTAAAAAACACCCCCCAAACCCAACAAAATAAAACAAACAAATAAAAAGCCAGGGCGGTAGTATCACATGCCTTTAATCCCTGTACTCTGGAGGCAGAAGCAGGCAGATCTCTGAGTTCCAGGCCAGCCTGGTCTACAGAGTGAGTTCTAGGACAGCTATATCCTTCCTGTCTTGAGAAAAACAAAACACAAAACCAAATCAAGAGAAACCAAAGAAGCCCAATGCAAATAGTAGCTCATTAGTATAGAGGACGAAGACCCAAAGTATTGAAACAAAATTGAACATTATTAATTTTTTTGAGATTGTAATGAAATTTTATGAAGTAAAAACAACCCCCCCCCCACCCCCCCCACCCACTGACACCTCCTTCCATGGGAGGTGTCACACTTGTGAGCTACTTTGTGTCAGTCCCACTGCATCAGTTAGGGCCTGCTGGGAAACAAACCAGGCCACTCTTTATTTATTTATTTTAATTTATTTCTTAGTTCTAGTTAGGGAACAAGCTTGTTTCACATG